CCTAAAGGCATTTGCTCCATAAATCTTAATGTTCTGGCAATGAATTTCTGTGGTTGGAAGGTTTCTTGTTCTCCTTTCCTGCATTTTGATTTATAGCATGCCCTTTTGGGGGGCAGTGCCCCTAACAGAGAATTCTAAAGATTTCATTCAGCTTCTCCCTCATATCACAAATATGAATCCCAACAAGATAGCCTGTTACTAATAAATACATATTTTTTATGGTACATTAGTAATATATCTTGCAAATCTACTTTAATAGGTCCAATCATTTTCATACTTTGGGAAAAGTCTGGACAGGAAGATAACCAAAAAAATTTTTTTTGAGAGACTAGCAGAATTGTCAATTGTTTTCCTTTTTGCCAAATAAAACACTACAAAGGGGAAAAGTCTAGAATCCACTGTCAGAATTGTTTCATGGAAGACTGTTTTTGTCAGTGATACACAGGTTAATCAATATGACCCACCACTTGTCTTTTATCCACTTGCATCTTACTTTTTGTCTAGATTTAGAATCAGTCTTTTAAATGTCATCTTTGGGTGGTCATTTCAGTGAAGACCATGGATAGCTAAATCTGATGGTCATGGAGATGGTGAATAACCATGGAGTCTGGATATTCTGCCTGGGCCTGAATCCAAACTGACCACATATTTAAATTATTACATTTTAATTTGCATACTTAAATTATTATATGTTACTAGCATTTATCTATGTTAAGAATGATGAGTTCCTTCCACATCAGTTTAGTCTATCATAGTGATAAGACGTCTAATAGGGTATTTTAAATTCCCAATGTATCAAAAATCAGTCTCTCAAAAATATTGGAATTAGGGAACTGGAGAGATGGCTCAGCAGTTAAGAGCACATGTTGCTCTTACAGAGGACTTGAGTTCAATTCCCAGCACCTACATGGTGGCTCACAATCAACCATAACTCCAATTCCAGGGGATCCAATGACCTCCTCTGGTCTCTGTGGGCACCAGGCGTGCATATGGTGCACAAACATATGTACATACATACAGGAAAAACACTAAGAACAAATCTAAAATAAGTGTTGGAATTATTGTTTTGGTACTCTTTTTTTTGGTCCTTTTTTTTGAGATAGGGTCTCCTTGTAGCCCCAGCTGTCCTGGAACTCACTATGTAGACTAGGCTGGCCTCGAACTCACAAAGATCCGCCTGCCTCTTCCCCCCAAGTGCTGGGATTAAAGGCATGCGCCACGCTTTGGTACTTTTTCTGTCCTTGTTTTTTCAATTGTAATGAGACAGCATTGCCCTGTGGGTTGACCTCTGAGAATTAACTGACCACTCACTGAAAAACTTTGGTTCTGGTCCTAGCTTTGTTGTTTATTAACAACACAGTTAGAAAAACTACTTGTGTCCTCTGCAGGCCTTTTATTAACTGTAAAATTGGGGTGTTATGATTTGCCAGACTACATTAGATTACTGTAAGGCTAAAATGAATTGGTAGATTTGAAGATGCCTTAACACATACAAATCTATGTTATTATTAATAACATAGAATGCTAGGATAACTAAGCCTGCTGTAGTGGTTCAAACCTATTATCCTAGTGTTCAGGAAGCCAACCCAGGAGGATTACAAGTTTAAGGCAAGCCTGGGCACATAGGAAGACCCTATCTCAAAAACAAACACCCTCCAAAGAAAATTAGAAATCATATAAGGAAGAGAAGAAAATCAAGCAAAAGTCTGCAGCACACACACAACTGGAGAACAATGAAGGGGTATGCATGCGTACTTGTGTGTGGTGTTGAGGGGGGACTGCGTGTTCAGCCACATGCCCTGAGCACAGCCCTGAATATTCTTATCGTTCCTCCACTTTAGGAAATTTTGATTCATTGTTTTTTCTCTTATTTCCATCCCATCTGCTTCGTCTCTCAAACAGCTACTAGATGAAGGCTGAAACATTTGGATCTATCTGCTATGCCCCTTAAGTTTTCTGTCATTGACTTTCTCATGGCACTCACCACTAAGTAACACAAGCATTCCCTTACACTAACTTTCTACTAATTTGCTTCCAGTTGCATTCATTGTCTATGCCAAAACATCTATTTAAACTTAACACCCACTAAATCTAGTAAATTTTAAAATTTCATGATCTGGGGCTGGAGAGATGGCTCAGTGGTTAAGAACACTGGTTGTTCTTGCAGAAGACCTGGTACCCACATGGCAGCTAACAACTGTCCATAACCCCAGTCCCGGGGGATCTGACAGCCTCTTCTGACCTCTGTGGGCATTGCATGACACGGGTGCACTTACCTACATGCAGGCAATACACACATACACATAAAAAAAATGTCATGATCTACAAACGCTCCCTTATTGCATATGACTCTATGTCTTTGATTATGAGACTTCCAGACCATTATCAGTGTGATTTGCTTCACTATACTACAGCCTAACTTTGAAATAGAATTGAGATATGCAGATAGATGGGGTCTATGGATGATTTGACTGATGCACTCTTTGATCCTCCTGGGGGGTCAGAAACTACTTAGGCATTGCCCTGCCTCTCCAGCTCTACCGTATGACTCAGCTTCTGCCACAGCTTCCTATTTCCCAGTGCAAGCCAGAGAATGGGGAGGGTGACTGATTTGCTGTTCTGTGTGCAAGTCCCTAATTTTTTCAAATTGATGCATGCTCCAAATTAACGCTACCCATCATAGCTATGAATCCTAGGCTGGCATTCCATCAGTTCTACCTCCACTCATCTCAACCCCGATGCGAGGCTTCTGTCTCCTTTGGTTTTATTCATTCCAACATTTGTTCTTTGGTAATATCTTTCAGAATTGATCAAAAATGTACTTTTAGTGATTACCATTCCTTGGTTTTTCTAATTCTCCTAAAATGGATTTTATTATATAT